ACCTTTTTCTTTATCTACTTTTGTTGCGTTATTTCTGTTTCACGTCATTCATTCTAATGTTTGGACCTCCCCTATGCAGAGTGTTAGTGGTATTACATACTATGTTATTTTTCTGGATGATCTCAGTCATTTTTTTGTGGGTTTATCCTTTATGCACTAAGTCTGAGGTGTTCTCTAAGTTTCTTAATTTGCGTTCATATGTTCAAATGCAATTCAAGGGTGATGTCCAATCTTTTCAATATGACAATGGTGGAGAATATGATAATTTTCAATTAAATTTTTTTTGTACCACTAATGGTATTCACATTCGTTTCTCTTGCCCTTACACATCCCAATAAAATGGAAAATTTGAGTGCATGTTACACACCATTAACACTGTCATTCGTACACTTCCTTTTCACGATCACCTTCCACCCACTTATTGGGTTGAAGCCCTTTACATGGCCACATGTCTCCTCAACATCCTTCCCTCCACTTCTATAAGGAGCGATACCCCTATCACAAACTCTTTAACCAAAACTCTACCTATACTCATTTATGTGTTTTTGGATGCATATGTTACCCTCACGCACCCTCCCCTCGCAAACTTGCCCCTCACACCACACCTTGCATCTTTCTTGGATATCCATCTTATCATCCTGGATATCATTGTCTCAATCTCACCAATATGCAAATTATAATTTATAGACATGTCGTTTTTTATGAGTCTATTTTTCCCTTTGGATCTATGACTCCCAAATGAATCTCCACATATGACTTCCTTGACATTCCTGTCACCTCGAATATTTTCTCCTCCAAATTTTAATGCTGCCTATCACTTCGATGAGCGCACTCAAATGGATTATCCTACTTCCATTAACAATGATGCTTCCCAATCCTTTTTAGATGCATCCTCTAATCCTCCACCCACTTCTCATCTTGTTCCTTGTTCATTGCATCCCATGAAATCTCGATCCAAAATCGATATTTATAAACCGATTCACAAGTTAAATCTCCATGTTGAGTCTGACTCCCCTCTTTCTCGTACCTACTCTTAAGCCTTCCAGGATCATAATTGGCTACATGCTATGCATGATGAATACAATGCGCTTGTCACTAATAAAACTTGGGTTCTTGTTTTGTGGCCTCGGGAGGCAAATATTATAAATTGTATTTGGTTATTTAAGAAGAAATACAAAGTCGATGGAACTCTATCTCGCTACAAAGATCTCCTAGTTGCAAATGGGCGCAGTTAACGATCGGGCATTAACTGTGAGGAAAGCTTCGATCCCGTTGTTAAGCCTACTATAATTCGTAAATTTATCGGTCTTGCTATTACTCAACAATGGGTCGTACGCCAGTTAGATGTCAAGAATGCCTTTTTACAATGTAATCTTGAAGAAACTATGTATACGAATCAACCTTCCGGTTTTAAAGATCCCACCAAAATGAATCATGTGTGTCTCTTGGAACGCTCTCTTTATGCTCTCAAACAGGAATCTCGAGCATGCTTTCATAGATTTTCCATGTTTATCGCTTACATGGGTTTTGTTCATAGTCGCTCTGACTCTTTGTTGTTTATATATTGACATGATTCTCAGATTGCTTACCTACTTCTCTATGTAGATGATATTATTTTTACAGGTTCATCTCAGGCTCTTATCTCTCAGATTATCACTGTTGGATTAGGTGTCTAAGCCCATAACTATAATTGGTATGTACTTGATTTAATAGTAACATGGTCCTTTTGAGTTGCCTTGACTCATGGAACTTGACATGATGACTTTTGGAGAGAGAGGTTGAATTTATTATTTGGAATAATAAATTGGAATAATTGATTTATTAATGTATTATGAAAATAATATATTAATTAGAAATCATATTATTAATTAGTGATCTGATCAAAAATTAATTTTGTGATTCAAGGAACTGATTAGTAATACAAGGGTTGTTTTGCAAAGCACTGATAGTTGTGAAACTGGGCTCTTGGACCCCTTGGATAGAAGTGGATGAAAAATATAGGGAGGCCTTATAGATTTTCGTCCAAGGGATTCTAAAGGAGGGGTCTGTGGTGTTGGATTTGTGTCTAAGCCCGTAACTATATTTGGTAAGTACTTGACCCGGTTGTGCATGATCCTTTTGGATTGCCTTCACCAAAGCAACTTAAAAGGGTGATTTATGAAGAGAGAGGTTATTATGGTTTATTAATATATTATATAAATAATATATTAAAGGATAAATCATATAGTTTAATTAATATTAAACAAAAATTAATTAAAAGTTAATTTTGTTACTAAAAGACATTAATTAAATAAAGGGGATTTCAACCGTCAAATGTGTGATATTTTTGAAACATATGACTACTATTATAATAAATCTAAACTATTTTTTTTGGTTACCAATCTTTGTAATATATTTTTTATGTTATTATATTAGGTTATAACTCGTGTATTACACGGCTGACAATGTAAAATAACATAAAAACTTGAAAAATCGTAATCAATAATCATAAAAGAACGCTCTCCAACATGCAAATTTCATCTCGGCAGTGTAAATACTACACAAACCAGACACAAAGTTTATAACTATAAGAAAATTACAAAAGAGAACTATTAGTTATTAAAATTCATTAAGCTTTTAGAAATCATAAATGGTATTATTTTATCATTCAAATACATGTGGAGTTATATAGAATGAATGAATCTACAAACTCGTTTAAATTATAATCCTTTCATCATGATCACAAACCAATTAGATTCAAAAGTTAAATCAGATTAAAAGCCACTTTACTTATACCAAAGAACCCTTAAAGAGAACTTTATGAGTAATTTACAAATAAATGGACCAAATAATCAGAAATCCACGTACCAAATGAAGCAAAAGTAGGTGATTGCCTGCATTATTTTTTTTTTAGCTAGTCTGAACAGCGGAAAATTATATGAAACAAAGTTATATGATTTTTCAAAAATGGGTGGGGTTGTCGATAAAACAAAGAGATATGATATCGATGCCATTAAATGTTTTACCTTTTGCTTCACATATCCGGATCAAGAATTTGATTGATTGCATCAATTTTATATAATCACACATCCGATTGTAGTTACTTTACATACACATGATCTACATTAGATTTTACACTCATGCACACACACAACGACCTACAAACTCGATGATTGACGATAAAACAAAACTAAAAATAAAATTTCAAGTGTAAGTGCTGAAAGTGAGATCGAGTTTTTTGAGGGATCTTTACCGACCTAACGTTCATCTTCTATATTAACCAAAAACAACCAATCTTGAGTTCCAATCTTGATGAGGTACCAAAAGAAACTGAAACAGGAAGACGAAGAAATTATAACAACTACCTAAAAATAGTGGGTAGAGCGGATGATTTTGAAGCATCGGTAGAGTACTGCAATGAAGTCAATGTGTAGAGGAGAATACGATGCGGCTATACTCTATACCCTATATATGATGTGTAAGATTGACCCTCTATTTTTAATTTAGAATGTATCACAATTCCTGATTTTTTGCTTTAACTTTAATTTAAATATGATATATGAAACGTTATTTGAGTGATTATGATTGCAATTAGTTAAATGATAAAATCTATCCATAAGTGAGAAATAGCAATAACGTAAAATCTTAATCTTAGGGGGTGTTTGGATAGGAAAAAAAGAGGTGCTTATTGCTTATTCCCACAATAAGCTAATTTTAGTGTTTGGATAAAATCCAACTTATTAGGCTAAATAAACTAATTTTAATAAGCATTCTTCCCCATGTTTATTGCTTATTGCTTATTCCCACTACAAATAAGCTATAAACAATAAATTAAAAATCTAATCCAAACACCCCCTTAATTGCCAATAATATCTTTATACATGGGCGGGAAAAAAATAAGAAGCTGCCATGGGGAAAATATAAGGTTGAGAAAGATGACACGTGTCAATTTGGGAGTCATTTAGAACTTGACACATGGCAGTAGGAGATTCAACCTATTTATTTATTAGAAAGGGAGATATTTTCAACAAAATTTACGGTGCCTCAAAGTCGGCTTCATAATTTATTTTTATACCAATACAAATTTACTCAAATATGACACCCTTTTTTATATGAAACAGTTTTGGATTACTGAAACGGAAACGTCAAATTCTACATGTATATTTGGTAGCGAACTTTTAACTGAGTTTGATAACTTTTAGTTTTAGTTTTTAGGGCTATGTGGTATCCTCACGGGTGGATTGTGTGTGAAAAGAATGACACGTAGATTTTTTACTATTCCACAACCAACCCCCCAGGCTATGGAAATGGTGTTCACCGGTGGGTTGGTGATGAAGAGGGAAAAAGAAGAGAGAGAATTAGAATAACCGATGTGAGAGAAAAATGAATGCACCAATTACAAGGCCCGTCTTCATCCGTCTTTCCATCCACAGACATCACTCCACACCCAAACCACCGGTACACGGGGCGGTGTTCACCGGTGAGTTGGTGTGCCACATAAGAAACTAACATGTGGATTTACATCCACTCTGGATAGCCTAAGTTTTGAGGTAAAACCCTAATCTAAAGAAAAAAGTTCGTTCAAAAGAACGAATTGAAACTTCTATTTAAAAAAAAGTTCAAAATCCAGAAAAAATACTTTAAATAAAACTTCTATATATTACAACAAAGTTACTAAATATCGTTAATAACCATTAGGGTTTTCTCTAAATAACCAACTTTAAAACATGTCGGTATTTTTTTTAACCAATAATATCTTTTTCATTATCAAACTGATAAGACAGATTTAATAAGAAAGATTTATCATTTTATTGAGTTAAAAACATATTATTTTATTTTATTATAAAATAAATATGAGTTGATTGTAGATACTAATCATATATCATAAATGTTTTAACGTAAGAAACATACGCAATTTCATTTATAAAGCGAAACGGCATTGGATTCATTTTCTCACTACGAAGCAAAGACCATCTCTTCCACCTACTCTGCATATTCATCTTTTTGCTTCTATACTATTAATGGAACTCGCTGTAGTCAGAAGCAATCACAGGTTATCTCCGGCGATTTCTACGCCAGAGATGGATCGCATAATCTGGCGCAAACTCCCCGTCGAACTCCTCGAACGTATACTCTCTTTCTTACCTTTCAAAACTTTCTTATACCTCCGATCAACCTGTAAACACTTCAGATCTCTCATCTTCTCTCCACTCTTCCTCTCGAAACACGCCAATTCGCTTTCTTCTTCACCTTTCTCTTCGTTCATGTTACTATCTCATCCTCAATCAAGCCACTACCTCCTGTACGACACCGTTCTCAACACGTGGCGCGACATCAACCTCCCGTTAACTGACTCCCTCACCTTCACACCTCTCCTTTGCACCGCTACCTGCCTACTCTGTTTCTCCGCCGTGCCGGATTCCTCCAATTCCGCCTTCCTCCTCTATAACCTCATCGCGACGTCTTCAATGATCGTAAAATTCCCCGAATACCCTTTCGCCTTTGAATTCCCAACCCTAATTACTAACTCCTCCGGTTACCACCTCTTTTGCCTGTCATCTGGTTCGTCATCATCTCACCTTTACGCTTACGTCTACGACTCAAGGGTTCGCCAGTGGACCCGATACGATGGGTTTCGGAGAACCCTAGGCGATAGTTATCATCAAAAAGGAGTCTTCCTGAATGGATCTCTGTATTTTGCGACTCGAGAGCCGTTTTCGGTGGCCAGTTTTGATCTGCATACCGGAAAATGGGAGACATTGGATGTAGATTTGCCTGGGGAACTGACGTTTGTCCGATTAACGGCAGGGAATGGTAACGGAGAGGGATCAAAGAAGCTGTTTATGTTTGGGGGAATCGGGAGGAATGGGATATCGAAGAGCATGAAGGTCTGGGAACTGGATGTAAAGGGAAGGAAATGGATGGAAATTCAAAGTGTTCCGGAGATGATGTGCAAGAAATTGGGGTCAGTTTGCTACCATCATTATGAACACATCTATTGCTTTTGGCATCAAGGTATGATCTGTGTATGTTGTTATACTTGGCCTGAAGTTTTGTATTATAAAGTGTCAAGAAAGACTTGGCATTGGTTGCCAAAATCCCCTTCTCTTCCTGAGAAATGGAGCTGTGGTTTTCAGTGGTTTTCCTTCGTTCCTGAGCTCCATGCTTTCGTTTAGCTGGTTCTAGTCCTTAATTTGTGCTTAGTTTCGTTTTTCTACTCCTTTCATTTTGCTTGTTTCAACAATTATTAGTGGATCAAATTGCGTTTTGTAAACAGTATGTGATGTTTGTATAACCAGTAAAATGAAGTATTTTTTCTGTTAGTGTAGGCCCATTGGGAACATTGAATTCTATGTGTTTGATCTTGAGAATAGTCAAAGGTTGGTTTGTAGTAGAAGATGGGGGTTAGGAATTGTGGATTGGTTTTGAAAAGGAAAATTCAACACCTTGTTTTGGGTCAAATTTAAACGAGGTTGATACTCTATTTAATTTAATCAAAATCAGAAAATTATATATCTTTTAAAGTTACAAATATTTATATCTACTAAAAAAAATTATAACAAGGATCAAGTTATTATTATTTTTACTAAACGAATATATGTACGTTGTGCAGAATTCAACATTATATTTGATATTAATATATGTTTTTTTTAAATATATATCAATAATGTTGTTGTTAGCTCTCATTATAAGTTGGTATAATATAAATATTTTTTTAAATATAATATATAATTTAATGATATTTATAGTTTTTTATGATTAATTAATTTTAAAAAGTTAATTTGTTTAAAAATTTAATTTTATCATTATAACTATTTTTAAAACAACAAATATTGTGTTTGTTGTTAAAGATAACAATATAATTTTTATATATAATGTTACTTTTAATTATTATTGTTGTAAGTTATTTAAAATTAAGTATCGAAAACTTTTAATTATTTTAATTTGGTTTTAGAAATTTAACTTTTTAAAAATTTATTTGATAAATGTTGTTAGTTTTTTTTATTGTAATTATTTATAACAACAAACATTGCTTTTGTTTTTAAAGATAACATTATAATTTTTTTATATATTACTCTTAACTATTCTTATTGTAAGTTATTTTTAATCTATTTATTTGAAAATTTTTAATGATTATAAAAATCATTTCATGCTTTTGTTTTGTTAAATTATGATTACAATTTACTTTTAAATCTATAATTTATAACTTTTAATTATTTATAAAATGGTTTCTTAATTTTTTTTTTCAAATTTAACTGAAATTTAGATTTAAATTAATCGTTCAACATTATATTAATATTAATAATTTAACTATTTTATATAAAATCATAAACTATACAAAACTTATGACTTTAAAATAATAATTTCTTACATACAACAATATATCCAAACTAATAAGTTAACTAGAATATGTTAAAAATTAAAGTCATAATTTAATAAATAGAAGTAAAATATAATATTTTAAGATTTTAGTTTAGTTAATTTATGATTAAAATTTAGTTTTTGCATTAGTTTAACATTATTAACTAATTTATAATAATTATTAGAACGAAATTGAAAAATCATGGAGGTTTCAAATACATGTCCGTGCGTTGCTCAGAAACACCTATATAATTGAATTATTTACAAATATATGTTTATATATATATATATATATATATATATATATATATATATATATATATATATATATATATATATATATATATATATAACGTTGTTAATTTTGATATAATAATTCATATACTAAATTGATATAATATATTGATTTATTTTGAATTATATGATAATATATACATCTATTATAACTGTATAATCTCAATCATTTGAATGATTTCTAATAACGAGTTAAGCATTTAATGTTATTTATAATTGTTGTTATTGTTAATTAATTTTTTAAATTTTATTTGCTTAATATTTTAATTCCTATCATTATAATTATTTAAAACATCAAACATTGTTTTTTGATTTTAAAGGTAACAATATAATCATTTATATAGAGTTATTTTTAACTATTATTATTGTAAGTTATTTTAAACTACTTATATGAATTTTTTTAACAATTATAGAAATATCTTTAGGAAATATTTTTGTTAAATTGAAATTACAATTTAGTTTTTGCATTTATCACTACAATTTATTACTTTAAATTATTTACAAAATACTCCTTGGGTTTTTCAGTTGATCTGAAATTTATATTTAACTTGACACTGTAATCTTTAGGTTAACCTAGACTATTACATCAACATTAATGACAAGCCCAGAAACACAAGCGTTACAGATTAACATTTTGATAGATTTCAGGCTTATAGTCTTGTCTAACCTTCTGCCAATACCATATAATAGAAATAATTCTCTTACGGAGACATGTTCTACATGGCCAGAGGCTACATACTAGTACCAACGTGAATCTAAGTCATTTCACTGATCACATGGTCAAAGGTATTTCTTTGCTATTAAAAATAGCGAATAAAAATAACCTGAAATAATAACACTAAAAAGCACATATCACATATAACACATAACATACAACTGTTCCTATATATTAAACTCGCCGTGAAATAATCGGGGGCTAAAATATTAATTTGGGCATTACTTCGGCTATAAATATGACTTTCGTCGTTGAAAACCGGGAGTTTTCTTGAAAACCGGGCTCTGCGAAGGTAGAGCTTCAAAACCAGAAAGATAAATTTTTCGGGCTTCTCGGGTACTTCGTAGCGTATTCCGGAGGTTATAATTGATATCGGGGATTCGGGGAATGTTAAGATGAAGAAAATATGGAAAAGGGGTAAAAGATGGCAAATTTCCAAATGTATCCGAGAAGGCTCGCAAGCCCTCTATTTATAGGGAAGATCCGAAGGTCGGCCGAGAGGAGGAGTCAGCAGCAAAGCAGCTCGGTGGCAGCGAGGGAGAGAGACACGCGAAGGGGAAGGGCGAGTCAGCAGCAAAGGGCACGCGACAACAGCGGAGCGAAGCAAGTGGCGTGCATGCAAGGGGCTAGGTGCGAGGCTCCGAAATGCCACACGAGGCGAGGCGCGTCGGACGCGCATTGGGCTGAAGATCTGGGCGAACCGGACTGCGATGTATGCTGGACACGAGGCGTGATCTCGTGAGGTGACGTGGCTAGCACTATTCATGCGAATTTTCTGGAAAATCGAACCAAAATCTTCCGAAATTCATAACTTTCGCATACGGGCTCCGTTTTTGACGTTCTTTATACGCACACGCAGCTAAAATTATGCTCTACAACTTATTTTAGACTTCGTCTACTAATTTTGACTTTAATTTTAATATTATTATTTTTAACAGACCGGGATAGGAAAATTCGTTAAAAATTCATAATTTCTTCGTCCGACGTCCGTTTTTGTCATACTTTTTACCGTTGTACTACAAATGAAGAGACCTTCATTTCTCGTTTAGGTTGTGTCAGCTAAAAAATAATCGATCTAAAATTCGAATTTTTAGTTGTCTACTGCTAAGCTGAAACTTCGAAAAATCATAACTTCCTCATACGCAGTCAGATTTCGACGTTCTTTTTATCGAACTTCTCGGTTTAACAAATACTACGAATTTCATTTAGATTACTGAGGCTAAAAAGTAGTTTATCAAAAACTCACTTTTTATGTTATTTGGCGTCGTGCCAGTTTTGTCGCGGATATTCAATTGGTCATAACGTCTTCGTTATAACTCGAATTTCGATGAGGTTTTCGCCTACATGTTTCTAACGAGATTATCTACAATTTTCAATAATAAAATTTTACTTATTTCAAATTTTATATTGTCGCTATATTTCACTATTTGACTTTTAATTGGAATCTCATAAGACTTCCAATATTTTATGAGTGATTCTAAACATAGTTTTACTTCATTTCTAGTAAAAGCTATCTGTTAGAACTCAACATTCAAATTCACATAATATTTCATAATATTATTTACTTAAAACACGATTTCAAAACGTGTATGTAACAAATACCTCCTCCTGTTGAGGATTTCGTCCCCGAAATTACATCGATTAAAATAAAAGGGGGTATTTTGCTTTTATCTCATTCTTATTTTCCCAAGTATAATTTGGGCCTCGATGGTGTTTCCACTTGACAAACACCAACTCCACTTCTTTATTACGTAGACTAGTTGTTCTTTCATTCACGATCTCTTCCGGATCTTCTACATATCTTAACTTAGTATCCAATTTCAATTCGGATAATGGAACTATCTCATCATTGATGCTCAAGCATTTGCGCAGATAACTTACATGAAACACATCATGAATACCTTCCAAATCTTCGGGCAATTCTAAGTGGTATGATTGCTTTCTAATTCTCTGGATGATTTTGAAAGGACCAACAAATCTAGGGCGTAGTTTTCCTTTCTTCCCAAATCTCATAAGGCCTTTCCATGGGGATACCTTCAGCATTACAAAATCACCCACTTGAAATTCTATGGGTCGCCTCCTCTTTTCTGTATAGGATTTCTGTCGATCCTGGGCCGCTTTCATTCTTTCTCGTACAATTTGAATCTTTTCGGTGGTGTCTTGAATCATTTCAGGGCCTCCAAGGATCTTTTGTCCTATGTCTCGCCAACATAATGGAGTACGACACTTGCGACTATATAATGCTTCATATGGTGACATTTTGATTGAAGCGTGGTAACTATTATTATACGAGAATTCGACAAGAGATAAGTATTTATCTTAGTTACCACCAAACTCCAAGACACATGCACGAAACATATCTTCTACTGTTTGGATTGTTCTCTCTGTCTGACCATCTGTATGGGGATGATAAGTTGTGCTGAGAGTAACTCGAGATCCTAATCCACGTTGCATACTCGCCCAAAAGTGAGAAGTGAAGCGAGTATCACGATCGAAAATGATCTTTAGTGGCACACCGTGTCTTGCAACAATTTCATCCAAGTATACTTGTGCGTATTTCTCCATTGGAGTTGTTTCACGCATTGGAAGAAAATGAGCGCTTTTAGTCAGGCGGTCGACGATTACCCAAATGCTATCATGCTATCTAGCAGTCTTTGGCAATTTGGTAATGAAACCCATGGATAGTTCTTCCTATTTCCATACAGGAACACTAAGACTTTCTAGGGTTCCATAAGGCTTTTGGTGCTCTGCTTTGACTTGTAAGCGTACTAAGCATTCATGTATATATCTTCCAATGTCTCTCTT